GATAGAATGGAGTTTGGACTTGATCAGAGCAAGTGTCCCTATATTTATCTTAGGTACTTAAATGGCCTCCATCACCCTAGTGTCTAAGCATCTTACAGTCTCGTAATGTATATATCCTCACAACAACCCTTTGAGGGAGGGAACTATGTGATCCTCATTTTAGAGATGGGAAACTGAGTCGCAGAGCAACTACCTGACTTTCCCCAGGAATCTTGGGTTTCCAAAGTCCTAGGCTAGCACCTTATCCACAACCATCCTTCTTCACCACTTGTGCACTACAGTAAACATTTTAATATGTGGACAGAAGGTGTGTTACAGGCATTTGAAGGGAGGTCAAAATGGTACAAGCAATGCCAAAAAGCTTTACTATTGATGGGACATTGTAAAGCCAAATCCTGAAGTACTTACTTAGTCTTCCATAGGAGTTTGCCTCAGTAAGGACTGAGTAAATGAACCTCAGGATCTGGTCCATTCTTCAGAAATTTGAACTACTCTAAGGCTCTCTATACTGAATTTTTTGTTTTTTAACTTCCTGCTCAGAGAAGGTCCAAATGACAATGTTAAAAATGCTGGCAGCTGAGGGAGCCTTGTCTCCTCGTCTGCACTAGCACTCCCCCATTGCTACCACTTCTGGACCTGCATCAATGCTAGCAATAGCGTGTATGTTTTGTCACAAAACGGCAAAGTACAAAGCCTCATTGAAGAGGATTAAAATTCCTTTTGTCTGTTTTCTAGGCTGAATATAATGCATGTCAGGGCAGAGTGCATATCGTGAGTCACAGAAAACAAAGCAAGCCTGTTTTGATTAGACTCTGCCTACGTTACAATAGAAATCATGCTAGCAACAACTAAATATGGCTGTTGCTAGCATGGTTTCCATGACTATTCTAAACAAGGGCCTTTTCCAGTTACCCACATAATAAAACAATGTTAATATTTGGGTCCCCAGCTAGGCAAACCTTTACCTCCTGATAAGAAGTCATTTTAAAACAGAGTTTTCGGTACTGGTTTCTGCTACTGTGACTGTGCTGGGTGGTGTGTCTGGAGCACAGGTTTGTTAAAACTGCTTTAAAAAAAAAAGTCTCTAGACTAGATCATTACTTCATTTACAAACCTACTTTTTTATTACAATTCTGTTCCAGTCACACTGGCCAGCACAACTGAATTAGCAGAAGCCATTATTAACCCCGCCCCCAGATGAAGGTGCGGGGGTGCAAATGTGGTGTAATGCTCACCTTTGGATTCCCCCAGGCCTGGAGCTGCTGTCTGCCCTGCCATAAGTAAGAACAGTCTTAGACCTGATTTTCAGAGGTCCTAAGCACCCACATCTCCTGTTGACTTGAACTAGAGTTACAAATACTCAGTGCTTCTGGAAGTCAGGTACAAGGTATCTCAGGCTGGGCATCCAAAAACAGAGGCACCCCAAATCAGTAGCCACTTCTGAAAAGTTTGGCCTAAATATCCTCTAACTGGCAAATCCCTTTCTTCCCCCCAAACTGCCCATTCTTAAAGAATGTAAACTAACTGCAGTAGCATCGTGTGTCATGAATGCAATGTCATGCACGATACATATAAAGTAAACAGAGGGGTAGCGAATAAGATATTATCACATTTTCAGCAAGTGCATATCTTTCCTTCGTTACCACTGAAGGCCAATTCAAGCAGTCAATGGGAGTTTGCCTGAGTAAGATTTAACTAAGAGCTAAATCCTGACATCCTTACTCTTTTCTATGTGTTTAGCTGGTTAGTACTGGTTAACTAGAAGCAATTACTGCACACAAAATAAATGATACAAATTAGAACTATATCCCACCTCCAATGACTATTCAACCTTGTGATCCCCATTGGAACTGGGTCAGTAGTTCTCAACCTGTGCATAGTGATCACCCAAGAGGAGCACCAGCAAATGTCTCAAGGACTATGGAGACGGGCTGAGATGCCAGAAATACCTATGAACCACTACGTTTACCATGGCACCTCCAACTAAGTGCAGTGAGAAATAGTGCAAAGGATTCTGGGGCATATGGGGAATATATTGTGAATTGTTGTATATGGCTTTGCCATTTGGAAATGGGTGAGAAATCATAGTATGATTGAGAGACCCCCAATAAATTGGCTTGCTGAAGCCTGATGTGTTGCACAGCTCAAGGCCTGAACTGCTCTCAATTGTTAACTCCACTAAAGGAGACTTCAGAATGGTTGATAAACCAGTGGTGGATGAAGCAAAGCAAATACAAACAAGTACTACAGGATACATCTTGTCTCTCTGATATCAGAGTAATGCAAGATACAGACAAAGAAAATTAGGAAACACTGTAATGGAAAGAATAAAGATATTTTTCAGACCACTGCAGGTAGCAGTCTATAAGAACAATCCTCAATTTACACAGATGACGATTTTCAGGTTTTGAAACATTTCCAATTCCTTGCTAATTTCTATTCAGAAGTTGATACATAAAAATCACCAACACAAAGAAATCAAATGTAATTGCAATCATAAAAAACAAAAAGGAAAAATACAGCAGGAAAATGCTCTTAAAAACATCAATTAGGCAATAAAATGTCTTCAGCATAGGCTATTTATTTAGCATCTGTGAATGCTTTTGTGTTCTGCAGCTGGGAACAGCATCAGGTCCTGAAATCTCTTTAGCTAGCAAAACCACAATTTGAACAGATTATTTCCAGTGTGCAGAAAAATTCAGTTGACAGCTATTTAAAAGTTTAACCGGAATAAAGGATGTGAGCAAAAAAATAAGATCATGAGAGTTTCACAAAATTTACTGAGTACATTTAAAACATTTTCTTCATCTTTGCAGCATAATAAAGGACATGCTCTGGTCTTCCTGGATCAATAAATCAATATGAAAACTTTTAAATTCACAAATAAATAGAGCTTGAGCTAGTAACAAACAAACATCTCCCAACTCCTTCAGTCATGAGATAATATGTATATATCAGCCATTTGTCTCTGGGTCCCCCTCAAAAATCTACCGGGGCTTACCCTGACTAACATCAGCCACAGACCTGTCATGAGGGGTTGAGGTGATGGGGGAGAAGAAAGTACAGGTAGTAGCATAACTTGCTGTTCTTACATTTCAGGGTTTTCTACTTATAGGGACCTAATTGCAGATTACATGGCTTTTGTACAAGTTACAAAGGAGATATTGTACATGATGGCGGCAACAGTGCAAGTCCAATAAACTACTTGAGAACCAAGTTTTCTAAAGTTTAAGGGGTAAAAAATTGAGACTTCCTTGTATTTTCCATGTAATGTTGCCTGGTTTCATTCCTGGTTGGAGAAATTTATCTCCCCTGGATTCTTTCAGAGACTTTCAATTAGGGTTTAAGCTGCTAGTGTTACTCTGAAAGTCATCTGAGTGCAGTCACCTGATCTGTCTCCTTCCTGATACTGTCTGATTTTTTTCTTGTTTTAAGTTCCATGACTGAGAGGCATTGGATAAGGCCTCTAAAGTAGTAATTGTAATGGAGTTGGCAGCAGGAATTCAGTGGTTTGACATCCTTGGAGCAATGGCAATTCAAGCAGCCTCAACTAGCCCTACCTGAACCAGGCACTGGTTTGACATTCCAAATAATTCGTATCAGAAATGAAAACAGATATAACGCAATCTCCATAGCCTTGTGTTAAACAAGTGCTGCAAAATAGTCCTCCTTTGTATGATACAACACAATGATAAGTGACAGGAGAAATATAGGGCCTTAAGTATATGGGTATTCATTACCTACTGGGGTAAGTACAGTAAGGTAGCATTCAATCAACAACACAACACCAATGCCCTTAGTCAGCAAGGGGCTGTAGTGCTGAATGTCCATGGCCACGTTGCATACCTTTATTCAAAGTGTCTAAAAGCTCCACAGGGTTATTACTGATCTAGTGCAGCCTAGTTAATCACAGATGACTGTATGGCCACTGCCAATAGCCTTCAATCAACAGCAGTTGAATTACAGATGGAAAAATATAACAGGCATTGTAATCTGCAGAGAGGTTCATACAAAGATACATTTTTTCCTTCCACATCATGAGCACTAACAGCAACAGCATATTCTGACTGCAACTCTGACTCAGGTAGTTCTGTAGGAACATTTCTCTATTGTTAATCATTGCAAAGGCACAAAAAAACTGTACAAACACTAAGCTGTAGTTGAACTCAAAAATAGATTCAATCTTTTTTTGAACTACAGCTGACCTGTGAAATAGGGAAGATGTGTCAACTGGAAAAATAGTATACTGAATATATTTTTTCAAAAAAACTAAATAGTTATTGCAAAATCCTTTCTGTATAAACCCCTTGGCTAAAATTAGCTATGTAGCATTAATTTAAAGGATTACATTTTCCAAATTTGTAAATTTAACACACAATGTTAATGTAGTTTTTTGCCAGTAAAGATCTGATCGCTGGTCCTTACTCATGGGATGGAGGTACCTGGTGGTTAACACCAGATAAATAATCGGCTCAATTAGATTACACTCACGCTGAAGCTCTTGCATAAATTCTGCAAGACTAGTACTAAAAATGCGATCGCACCAATTGGATAAAAAGCATCTAAAAGCGCAGACAACCGCGTGGTATAATTTGACTCTTCTTAAGCAGTCCCCTAAACAGCCTGCGCTGTGCTTGTAACGGGTCAAAACGTGCCACACCGCAGACACCTGTCAACGCTGGCGTCGTGTGAGCACGGCACACGTTTGATGGGAGCCGCAGACCCCGGGCGCTGGCTATGTCCGAGTAACTGGGACTTGGGAGAGAACCAGACGCACCAGGAGGGCAATGGTTGAAAGGGGCCGCAGCCCGGACTGCGCCCCGGCTTCCGGCTGGCTCCACATGTGAGAGTCGGTCACTGGGCACGTGTCTGTCTCAGGTTGTGGAACGCTGACTCCCCGTGTGGGATGGGCGGAGCTTAGCCGCTCATGCCACCCCCGCTAGGAGCGCGCCGCCCGCGCACCAGAGCAAAGCCCCGCCCCCAGAACGGCGACCCTGCCCCCGCGCGTGGCCCCGCCCTGTGAAGCCCCGCCCCTAGTCCGTGTTCCTGCGACCCCGACGGCCCGCGCGTAACCCCCCCTCCCCGAAGAAGGGAGTAGCGCTGGCCTCCAAGATGGCGGCCATGGCAACGGCGTCCGGGCAGCAGCAGGTAAAGGCCCGGCCGGCCGTTCCCGCCGTGCGGTGATGAGAACGGGCCCCGGGGCAGTGACTCCGCTGCGGCTCATCCTTGTCGAGGGGATTCTGGGCTGTTCCCTCCTTCCCCCCGGCCGGGAGAGAGCCAGGCAGGGAGGCCGGCCCCTGTGTCTGCCAGAGAAACAGAAAAGCTGCTACGGCCCAAAGCGTGTCCCGCCGACCCGGTGCCGCCCTGGGGCCCCGCGCGCCGCCGTAGCTGGGGCGCGTGCAGCCCTGGGGGTGAAGGGAGGCGCCGCGGTCACAGCAGTACCGGGCGTTCTGTGACGTCAGGGAGCTCCTCGTGTCTTCGCGGCCGCCAGAGCGGCCACCCCGCCCCAGAGAGCGGCCGGCCCGTGGCAAAAAGCGTGAGATGATTAAAAATAATGATCCAGCCTGTCCCAGGTTTTGTCCTGGAACCGGGGCTGTGCCAGAGCCCCTCCCCCCATCAGTGCTGCATCCCAAATCACCCTGCGACCGCCTCTGCGCTTTCCCTACAAAGTGCCTGGGCCAGTTGAGGGCCTAAGGAAGAGCTCTGTGGGGCACTGGAAAGCTTGTCTCTCTCCCCAACAAAAGTCGGTCTGATAAAAGCTATTACCTCACCCACCCTGTCTCTCTAATATCCTGGGACCCACATGGCTACAGCAACACTGCATATAGCCAGTTCAATCTGCTCGGGAACATTTGTGCCATGTTACCTGATTGTCCCGATGTTCATCACACTGCTATTACATGCCCCAGTGATAGCCTGTTTAGAAGTACCTAAGTCAGTGGTCCCCAAACTTTTCACGGTTGTACCACCCCTTACTGCTGTTTCACACACACACACACACCCCGCCCATTCCCCGGAGCTGAGGCCAGGCAGGAGCAGAGCTGCAGCGGGGGGGGGGCAGACAGGAGCAAGGAGACTGTAGCTGGTAGCGGGGCTGGGGCCAGGAAAGGAGCCACAGCAAGGGCAGAGGCTGGGGGTATGGTTGGGAGCTGAGTTGGGGGCAGGGAGGGGCCAAGGCGCGGTGGGGGGGCGGAGGCTGGGAGCCAGGTCCGGAGCAGAGCTGGGGCTGGGTGCCCCCCTAGGGAGGTGGAACCCACACTGATCTAAGTTGTATTCAGTGTTGTAGCAGTATTACTCCCAGGATATTAGAAAGACAAGGTGACAATATCTTTTATTGGACCAACTTCTGTATTTGGCCCAATAGAAGATATTACATCGCCCACCTCATCTCGAAGTACCTAAAATATTTGATTCAATGTTAGTTCTTGGTTTCATCTTGCATTCTGCAGGGTTTTCCCATTATGATGTCCTGTTTTGTTGGCTTCCTACTGATAATCCTGACTCTGTATCTCCACTCCAGCTTTTGGATAATATAATGCAGGGGTTCTCAAACTGTGGGTCGTGACCCCTCAGGGGGTCATGAGATTATTACATGGGGGGGGGGGTCACAAGCTGTCAGCCTCCACCCCAAACCCCACTCCGCCTCCAGCATTTATAATGGTGTTAAAGATAGAAAAACGTGTTTTAATTTATAAGGGGGGGGGGGGTCACATTCAGGCTTTCTGTGTGAAAGCCAGTACAAAAGTTTGAGAACCCCTACTATAGTGTAACTCACAGAACTGTAGGATTCCCACAGGTGTCACGTAGGTTTTTAATTCTACAGAGCCCAGAATCTCAGTAGTTGCTGAGTGACTAAATGTGGCATGTTGAATAAAAGTCAAGCTGGGTTCTTCTAGTGCATGATATCAGTAATAAAAGTACTGCTGACTAAATTATGCCGTCTGTGACTCCCATACCATCTCATGGTCTTCCAAACTGAGCAAATTTTATATGCAATCATGGAGACATAATAAATATGATATTACATGATGTCATTTTTATAGTTTCTGAAGAGTGGCCTCTTTAAACATATCATGGACATGGCCAAACTACATTTTAAAGTGGTTAAAAAACAAAGCTGCAGTCTAAATAGACATAGAAAATGCTTTGCTTAAAAATCCTATTATGACATAGTTTGGCATAGTACATGCTGGCTGGCCAAACCCTGTTATAATCCACTTTGATTACAGAGTGTAAACTTTTTGCTTGAGCATGGATGCTTTAAATAAACATGGTTAGATAGTGGTCAAGGAGCTGAATTTATTTTAACTTTGTTTGTTTTCAGCTTGTGATGATGTATTAGCATTCCATGCAGATGTTTCATATCGGCATGTAATGTTTGTTATTGATATTTATTTTTATAGTACCAACAATGCATTAAGCAGTTTACAGATCGATATAAGGATAGCATTCCTGCTCCAAGGCACACTCTAAATAGAGAAAATACTGGTGAAGGAAATGGGGGTTGAAAGATTGCAAGCAGAACAAAGCCAGTAAGCAGTCGGTTTAGTACACATCTTATTATTTCCATTTTCCCCCAGTTTGCATTTGTCCAACAGGAAAAAAAGTGGCAACCTTAATGGACAGAGTGAGGGGCATTTCTACCAATGTGATGCTAGTTCAGATGCTCCAATAAATACTCTTTAGCTGGAGTAGTCAGATTAATTCAACTGTGCAGCAGAGGAGACATGTATTCTCTATATGTCTTAATAACCCCCCAGCCAAATAATCTGTTTTCTTCCAGTTGCAGTGGTCATGGGGGTTTGAGTCTCCTCACCCTCCCATTAAGAAGTCATTGACTTTTAAGGACGATTTTTCCTATAGAGAACTCCTAATGCTTGTTAACCAGCTATCTTGTGCTGATTTTAGGTAGATTTAGGCCTTGGCTACACTGGCAATTCACAGCGCTGCACTTGCTGCGCTCAGGGGTGTGACAAAAACACACACCCCTGAGCGCAGCGCTGTAAAGCGCCAGTGTAATCAGCGCCTGCAGCGCTGCACTCTTGCAGCGCTGGCGGCGAGACTCCACTCGCGCTTCGCAGCGCTGCCGAGGCCTGAGTCTAAGGGGGCAAAATGCTTATTCAATCACTGATCTTGGAATACTACTGAACCTGCCTATGGTAAGAGCTAAGGGCTCTTTACAACCATTACTCTAATTTAGTCTCACTTAGTCAAGTTGTCTATTAACTTAAATGGGATTACTCACATCAGTGTTTCTCAGTGTTCTTATTTACTACTATTGCAATAGCACCTACGAGCCCCAGTCACAGACCAAGACCCTATTGTGCTAGGTGCTGTACAAACACAGAACAAAGATAGTCCCCTCCCCAAAGAGTTTACAATCTAAGTGTAAAACAAGAGACAACAAGTGAAACAGATGGGAAGGGGACACCAAGAAACAATGAGACAATGCTGGCCAGCATGATAGACAATGGTCTTAGCACATCAGCAGCCTAACTGTTGTCAACCTTTTAGTAGGCTGAGAGTGAGGATTGCAAAACTGCACACTAAATTACTAGTAGTTATGATATCAAGAATATCCAGGGTTATAACAAAAAATTTGGATGGGCTGTTAAACCTCATGCTTTGGGGTTTAAACCAATCCCCAATGATTGGAGGGATAAAACCAGGAAGAGACCAGGGGAGTGTGGGTGGTTGGAGGGGGGAGGGTATTATTCCACATTTGTGTACTGAGTGATTCTTGCATTTTCCTCTGAAGCATCTGGTACTGGTTGCTATCAGAGAGGATACTAGATGGACCCTGGTCTGATCCAGAGTGGTAGTTCCTATGACAGGCAACTACTGTTTAATTGTAGTGATATAACGTTGTATTATTGTTCGTTTTAAGAGCATATTACAAATACAATTCCCAGTTCACCACTGCATAACTCCAGCTTTACCCTGGTGTAATTCCACTAAAGTCAGTTGAATTACACAACTGAACAGCTGAGTTCAGTGTAAAACTGAAGTAACACAGTGGTAAATCACATCCACAGTATGTATTTGTCTTTTAGCTACTATGTTACTGATAATGAATAACAATAATAATAAAGAATGCCTTCTTTTGTGTTCTCTACAGAGTGACTGCTGTTTCAGTACTCCAGAAATTGAAAGTCAACACTTTCAATTTCAGAACTGGACAGTTAAAGCTGATCAAGCTAAGAAAGCTGAATTCATAAGAACAGCAGAAAAACTAAAAAATCAGTAAGTTAAAGAATATCACCATAAACACATTCTGCATGGTATTGCTGTGGATGACAGGTTTTGAGGTGATTTAAGATTAGTAGTTGTGACTATCAGCAGGGGTTCCAGAACTGTGAGCCTCTGTGTTACCCCTCTCAGCCTCAGCAAGTGAGAGCTTTGCTGCTGCTAAGCTGTGTCTCAGGTTCCGGACACACCAGCTTGTCTGCCTTTCCAGCAAACTCTTCAGGACTCTGCCAGTCCAAACTTTACATAGCAGGTAACAGTCAGTGAACTCCAGTTCCTCAGAGACATCTTTCTATAGTGTACAGCCCCTACATACTGTAACTCACAAAACCATATCAGTTTTGCTGCTCCTTTAAAGAGACAGTACTCAGAAGGTTATTAACTTAAATGGGGTTGGCAAACCCTTTACTCCTATCACAGCACTGAGTTGGAGTATAGTAAAAGTAAAGTAACTTTATTCACAATTAGGTTTAAGTGATACAAAGTATAAGGATAGACATGGTTACAGACAAACTAAAGTAAGGTTTTAGTTTTAGAAGCATATTCTAACTTAACTAACTAGAGTCTTGATTTAAGTAGATTTCTCAACTATAGTCAGTTTCCAGAGACTTTCAAGCCCATTTCAACCCCCCTCTTTTCTCATATGTACAAGAGCTCTAGCCTTTTGTAACTGCCCAGTAAAGGATACCAAAATGGCTCTCTGTCCTTGCTTATATCTATCTATCTATATATGTCCACCACGCAGCTGATGCCATGTTAATTTTTGAAGTCTCTTGCCCCCGTCAAGATAGTTAAGAGGATATCTCCCTGTGACACACCAGGATACAGTCCAGCCTAATGATTAGCTGTGTCACCCCTGCCCTCTAACCTGGGGTGCCTTTTATAATGCTTTGCTGCTGTAGCCTCCAGCCTGGACTGCTCACAAACAGTCTCCAACATTCAAGTAACTCCCAGTTATGTCTGTGTGTGTGCTGTAGCCAGCCAGCCATACCTTGGCTCTTACTAGTTTTGGTTATATTGTTGGGTGACCTCAAGACACTTCCAGTCTTAGCTTTTCGCTCAGAATGACCTCTACTGCCCACCCCTCTCCTGGACAATACCAGTTTATATGAAGTCTATTACTTCTTTAGTAGAAATGATATGCACGCAACTTGCCATCCCAAATGGAATTTCCCAGACACTTCAATTTAAACACACTGGATTAGATAAAACAATAAAATAGTTTATTAACTAGAGAGTTAGTTAATAAACAGTATTATTAAGTGAGTACAAGTAACGAGGAATAAAAGTTAGAAACCGTTACAAGAAAAATAAAGATAAAACACAACTGCTGCCTAACTTAACAAACTATGATAAAGTCAAAGCAAAGTTTTCTCACCACATGATTTTAGCAGTCTTAGGTTATGTCTATACTTACCTCCGGGTTCGGCGGTAAGCAATCGATCTTCTGGTATCGATTTATCGCATCTTGTCTAGACGCGATAAATCGATCCCGGAAGTGCTCGCCGTCGACACCAGTACTCCTGCTCAGCGAAAGGAGTACGCGGAGTCGACGGGGGAGCCTGCCTGCCACGTGTGGACCCGCGGTAAGTACCTTGTAGTTCGAACTAAGATACTTCGACTTCAGCTATGTTATTCACGTAAGTTAGTGTGAACCAGCCCTTACTGACCAAACTTCTTAGGTCAGGACCGCTTCTCCCAAAATCCAACGAATGCTTCAGGTGCCATGAATGCGATTGGGGGGGAGATCTCGAGGTGTTTATCTATCCTTTTTATAGTTTCAGTCCCCCTCTTGAAAAACATTTCCAGCTAAGATTCAGGAGACAGCCTATGGGGAAGGATGTTCCCCATTGCTTTTCCTCACCTTTTTGAACTTCCTTTATCTCACCATCTGCTGGATGACTGTTTACTGTATAAATGCAAATTAAGCAGAGCATACATTTCTTTGTCTGAGACAAACCTGTTTGCTAAGTTAGGAACATGTGTTAATAAAACCATACAGTGGAATCTTATATAGTAGAACCTCAGAGTTACGAACTTGAGTTACGAACTGACTGGTCAACCACACACCTCATTTGGAACTGTAAGTGTGCAGCCAGGCAGCAGCAGAGATAAAAGAAGAATGCAAATAGTACTGCTTTAAACATAAACTACTAAAAAAAATAAAGGGAAAGGAAAAAAACCTGACAAGGTAAAGAAACCGTTTCTGTGCTCGTTTTATTTAAATTAAGATTGTTAAAAGCAGCATTTTTCTTCTGCATAATAAAGTTTCAAAGCTGTATTAAGTCAATGTTCAGTTGTAAACTTTTGAAAGAATAACCATAATGTTTTGTTCAGTGTTATGATTCCATTTCATAGTTACAAACAACTTCCATTCCTGAGATGTTTGTAACTCTGAGGTTCTACTGTAACTTCACGTACAATGTTGCCACACATATTTTACCAGGATAGTAATGAGCAGAAAATTATGAGTTTTCAAATGGTACATCACCAGGCATACTTTGAGCAATTATTATTACAATAGTGTGTAGGGTGTGGACACACAGGTACGTTCTGTCATATTCCTCCACTTGCTAGTTTATTGACTTTGCCCTTTATGTAAATGTACTTGCATTGCCTCTCCTTGCTCAATTTACACTGGAGACACTTTCAAGCAGGTGGGACCACATTCCTTAGTCTAGGGTGGAGTGATTTCAGCCTTACTTGCCAAACACATTTTAAAAATGTATGTCCAGCACATAGAATAGTAGGATTGGAAGGGACCTCGAGAGGTCTTCTAGTCCAGTTCCCTGCACTCAAGGCAGGACTAAGTATTATCTAGATCATCCCTGACAGGTGTTTCTCTAACGTGCTCTTAAAAATCTCCAATGATGGAGATTCCACAAACCTCCCTAGTCAATTTATTCCAGTGCTTAACCACCCTCACCGGAACTTTTTCCTAATGTCCAGTGTAAACCGTCCTTGCTGCAATTTAAGACCATTGCTTCTTGTCCTATCCTCAGAGGTTAAAGAGAACAATTTATCTCCCTCTTCCTTGTAACAACCTTTTATGTACTTGAAAACTGTTATCATGTCCCCCCTCATCCTTCTCCAAATTAAAAAAAAACCTATTTTTTCAATCTTCCCTCATAGGTCATTTTTTCTAGATCTTTACTCATTTTTGTTGCGCTACTCTGGACTTTCTCCAATTTGTCCACATCTTTCCTGAAATGTTGCACCCAGAACTGGACACAATACTTCAGTTGAGGTCTAATCAGTGTGGAGTGGAAGAATGACTTCTTGTGTTTTGCTTACAACACTCCTGCTAATACATCCCAGAGTGATGTTTGTTTTTTTTGCAAGAGTGTTACATTGTTGACTTGTATTTAGCTGGTGATCCACTATGATCCCTTTCTGCAGTATTCCTTCCTAGGCAGTCATTTCCCATTTTGTATGTGTGCAACTGATTGTTCCTTCCTATGTGGCGTACAGTAGAACTTCAGAGTTATGAACACCAGAGTTACAAACCAACCAGTCAACCACACACATCATTTGGAACCGGAAGTACACAATTAGGCAGCAGCAGAGACAGGGGAAAAAAAGCAAATACAGTAGAGTACTGTATTAGAAGTAAACTACTAAAAAAAAAGGGAACGTAGAATTTTTCTTCTACATAGTAAAGCTTTAAAGCTGTATTAAGTCAATGTTCAGTTGTAAACTTTTGAAAGAACAACCATAATGTTTTGTTCGGAATTACGAACATTTCAGTGTTAAAAACATCCTCCATTTCCAAGATGTTCATAACTCTGAGGTTCCACTGTACTTTGCATTTGTCCTTATTAAATTTCATCCTATTTACTTCGGACCATTTCTCCAGTTCGTCCAGATCATTTTGAATTTTAATCCTATCCTCCAAATCACTTGCAACCCCTCCCAGCTTGGCATTGTCCGCTAACTTTATCAGTGTACTCTCTATGCCATTATCTAAGTCACTGAGGAAGATATTGAACAGAACTGGACCCAAAACTGATCCCTGCAGGACCCCACTCGATATGCCCTTCCGGCTTGACTATGAACCACTGATGATTACTCTCTGGGAACGGTTTCCAACCAGTTCTGCACCCACCTTATAGCTCCATCTAGGTTGTATTTTCCTAGTTTGTTTATGAGAAGTTCATGTGAGACAGTATCAAAAGCCTTAGTAAAGTCAAGATATACCACATCTACCACTTCCCCTTTATCCATAAGGCTTGTTACTCTGTCAAAGAAAGCTATTAGGTTGGTTTGACATGATTTGTTCTTGATAAATTCATGCTGACTGTTACTTATCACTTTATTATTTTCTAGGTGTTTGCAAATTGATTTCTTAATTATTTGCTGCATTATCTTTCCGGGTACAGAATTTAAACTGATCGGTCTGTAATTCCCTGGGTTGTCCTTATTTCCCTTTTTATAGATTGGCACTACATTTGCTCTTTTCCAGTCTTCTGGAATCTCACCCATCTTCCATGACTTTTCAAAGATAATCGCTAATGGCTCAGATATTTTCTCAGTAAGCTCCTTGAGTACTCTAGGATGTATTTCATCAGGCCTTGGTGACTAGGAAACATCTAATTTGTCTAAGTAATTTTTAACTTGTTCTTTCCATATTTTAGCCTCTGATCCTACTTGATTTTCACTGGCATTCATTAAGTTAATGTCCAATTTCTACTAAACTTTTTGGTGAAAACTGAAACAAAAAAGACATTTAGCACTTCTGCCATTTCCACATTTTCTGATATTATTTTCCCCTCTTCATTGAGTAACGGGTCTAACCCTGTCTTTGGCTTCCTCTTGCTTCTACTGTATTTGTAGAATGTTTTCTTGCTACCCATATTTACAATTTTTCATATACTACTGTACATATACCATGCAATAATATTAATGACCAGCATGTTACCAGTTTACATATGATATCTTACCAGACACTTTTTTTAATACAGATTATGACAACAGTAAGTTGGAATACAATCAGAATCAGCTGGTCACACCAGCTGAGGCTCATTGCTAGATACCCGGGAACCCTTTGTCCTCTGGGCTTGGGGTGTTCTTAGGGTCAGAGTAGTCAAAAACAATAAGGGGATGCTGTTATTGTTGGAACCCTAAAAGTTGAACTACCTTAACAGAAGCTATATTAAGAAGGTTTAATACTTAGGAATGCTTGTTGATTAATGAGGCTACTAAACAGACATAAAAACCTTCATGAACTATGAGAGAGTTGCCCATTGTTCAAATCCACCAAGGGCCAAATTCTGATCATCTTAATTACACTGAGTAATCCATTACTCCCCAAGTAGTTCCATTGAAATCAAGGTACTAAGGTGCTCCCACTATGAGTAAGGGTTTCAGACTCTGGCTGTAAGTACATTTTGTTACACTACTGACCAATCACAGTAAAGAAACATGTCAGGCCGGAGCCCGCCCCCCGAGCCCCTCCTGCAGCCCAATCCCCTGCTGAACCCTGCACCCCTCCTGCAGCCCAACCCCCTGCTGTACCCCACACCCCTCCTGCACCCCACATCCCAACTCCCTGCCCTGAGCCCCACACCCCTCCTGCCCTCCCTGGGGGCAGGAAGGGGGCAGAATTGGGGTGGGGATTTCAGGGAAGGGGTTGGAATGGGGGCAGGGCCTCATGGAAGGGGTGGAGTGGGGGCGGGGCCAAGGGTGGTCCTCGGCCAATGTACTAGTCCTCATGTGGCCCTCGTGGTCATTTTAGTTTGAGACCCCTGTTGTAGAGGCATTGGGAGCACATTACTTTGGAGCAAATCTGTCCATCTACATTATAGCTCCACCTATGTATGGAACTACATTAGTGCAGCTCATCCTCCCTGCTGTCTTCCAGCATGCTGTGCTCAGCCTTTCAGTGATAGCTCTTTGTAAGGGTTGCTGGCACTGCACTATGCACCTAGATCAGTTCTCATACATTTTTAAAGTGTGAACTGCAGTCTTAGTCAACAAGATAATTTCTTTATTATCTCTGCCCTTGTTCAAGTTTACTTGGAACATCTCCCCTACTGTTCATGATCAAATAACAACCTTGTGGCAACTATATCAATTTGTCACATAGACAAGTAATAATGGGGAGGTATTTAATGTATTTTTAGCTTCTTTTAATGTGATCCAGCAGGAGGACATGAAAAGAACTGTCACTGTAAAACCAGACAGCTGACTCTGAAAGCATTCCAAGGACTTTATTTGTCTACAGAATTTGGGAACTGCTAGATGACAACCATGTTAATTTATTTTTAATCTAGTCTCCTGCAGACTAGAATTCATGTCCCAAAATGTATTTCAGTTTACCCCTGTGTTCTTTTTTCTTGGTTTAATCCGGGCATTTCCTCAGAAAACATCCATTCTCTCCTTTTCATTTGCCCAAGAACAGTATAAATGTTTTTTTAGCAGGTTTTAGCTTTGCTGGGGAAACATCAGGAAAACTAAATAGGTTGCTGAACACAAATAATATTCTGTTATTGTTTTTAAATTAAATATTAAACACCAAACATAAAATATAAATGGAGCCCTGCAGGAATAGATTCCTTTGGCTCTATTATTTACAAAAACAGAAAAACAAAGTTAGAAAATAATAACACTACAATTTAAAGATATCAACTGAAAAAAATAAAAACCTTGAAACAAACATACATTACTGTAGCCACTTATACTAATTAATCTGGCCTGGGATTTGCAGCATTATCTGGGAGCAGTTTTATCAACAGCTTCGAGGCAGTAGACTTCCCCACCTCTAACTATACCTTAAATCCAAGCTTGCTATTTGCTTATGCTCAACCAACCACTGGTTTCCTTCCCTTCTATCCCCCCAGAGGACTGGTAAAATCCCTGACGTAGGTCTAATTATTGTATTTGTGCAACCCCCATCACTGTAGTAGCTCAGCACCTCCCAACTTTAATATATTTATCCTCACAACCCCCAAGTAAGGTAAGGAAATAATGGTATCCCCATTTTACAAATTGGGAACTGAGGAATAGAGAAGCTAAATGGTTTGCCAGGGTCACACAGGGAATCTATGGTATAGCAGGAAATTGAACCCAGGTCTCCCAGTTCTTCGGCTAGTGCCCTAACCACTGGATCATCATGGCAGGGAATGTCAGAGGGGAGAGGGGGAAACTGGTTGGGCTCCTACATATGTAATGAGTTTCATCTGGTTCTCAAAATGCTTAGCCACACCCCTATGAGGTAGATTATGGATAAGTAAGACAACTTCATCTACCACTGAAGTGTGGCCACTTCTGAGGAAGAAAGTGGCATCTAACAGTTCATCGTCTATAAGGCTCATCTGATGCAGTATCTTGAGTGTAAAGAAAGTACCATAGTTATAAATTGAGGGAGAAAGTGAGACAGTTCTAAAGGATGTGAAGGACCCCAAGCCCATTAGAAATAAAATTATCATTTAGAATGATCTGTTGACGCAAAGAGCAGAATTGTACATCTGTCTGCCTTTGCTGAGTACCAGATTTCTGATTACTTCTGTCAGACTTACTGTGTGGCCTGCACTAAGCATAAATCTTGGAAAGGATGTTTCTGATTTTTTTAATTTATTGACATTTACCAACATTTACTGATAAAAATCTAATCCTTCCAAGTGATAACACACTAGTTACATGATAAATTGAAAGCAGGTATTCTGATTAATATTCCCTGTATTAAAGCCCAGTTTTTAAATTCTGTAATGATGCACTTGTCCGCAGCACTTAATGAAACTAACTTATTCAATCAAAAATAATGACCACTAATTAGAGTTAGTCTAAGTAATTTCTAAGTGGTAATGACTGTGAATTTATATTTTTAATTATTTTTCAAGTGATTTTAAAATGTGGTTTCAAAGCCAAGCAACATTTTTTTCCCCAGACTTGTGAATATAGAAAAAGACAAAAATGGTCATCTCTACAGCAAGAAGAGTGATTTCAGGGTGGAATACAGCATACTGGAAGAACTGGAACATAAAATGACTAACAACAGGAAAGCTGACAGTAGGATATTTGTTCCTTTTCTTGTCCAAACTCACTCACTTAACTGGTGTATAAGCTCATAGAACAAAGCAAATTCTGATACTCGCCCATGAAAGTATTTTTGCTACTGTATATGTACTGTTTATAAGAGAGAGTGCACTATAAAAAGAACAGTATTGTGGAAGAATTAAAAATTATGAACCTAAACATAACAAGATTTAATGTAGCTTAGTTATTGTACAATAAACTTATGACAGCACCACAAAATAATCAAGGATTCTCTGTGTCTCCCACACTGATCACTTAAAAAAAGTAGATCTTTGAATATTTCAGTGTCTGGATTTGCAGAAGCATTGGAAGTGGGTCCTAGAGAATCCAGGCATTGAAATGTCCAGTTATGTATTCCAGGGCTGGTAAGGATAGATGACAGCATGAGAAGGTATGTTGGTTGCAGGGAGGACTGCAGAAGTTGGTTAACACTTTGAGTGTGCCTGAAATAGAGGGTAGTACACTCAATATTGAGAAAAGACCTGATGTGTCGTTCAGGGAAGTTGACACCATCATTGGAGATAGGCATTTTCAAAAAGTCCCCAAACACAATATCTTTAAATTATTTTCTGCACTCCCAAAGATATGCTAGGTACCTCACAAAATAAATAGACACATTACATATTCTGAAGAGCATACAAACTAACATGACCTAACATGTTAGCGTCCTACTAAACACACAAAGCAGGGAAAGGAAGGGCAAAGATAGCAATAAGATCATATTACTCAGTAAAGTTAGTACACATTTTGATGGTGCTGTTTTGTTTGTTAAGGATAGCTATTCTTTCCTCCACATTTTATAGGCCTTATGACAGAGGTGAGTAGGAGGAATTTGAATGGGGCAAGGGAAGTGGCTAGAGTCAGAATTGGTGTTCCCAGCACAAGGGGCAGCAAGAAAGCATGGATGGCGCTGCTTCTATGAGAAGATGATGAAGACGGTATCAATACTGGCATTTTTGCTGGCATCATTGTTGGAATGGGAAGTTGTGTCAGAGAAGACATGAAAGGTGACCAGACCAGAGATGTCGGGGCTGAATGACTTAGAGGTTTGAGGGTAAAGGCAAGAAATTTCAATTTGATGTACAATTAGACTTTTAACATGACTGACTAACTTATTTTTCTTCCAAAGAAGCAAAAATCCAGCAACAACTAGCAAAAATACACAATAATGTTAAGAGACTTCAACGACAATTGAAAGATGTGAAGCCTACACCGGAATGTAAGTCTTGTTGATGGAGTTTGAAATACTTGCCTTTTATAGACAAAAGTTCAATTTTCTTGGATAATTGTCTTGCAGGGAAGGTCTCTGCTTATGCCATCAGTGCAGGCTCTGGATGTCCTTTCTCCAGTCTGCCTATCCTTCTGTGAATCTAAGAAAGGAGGGGAGTGTCAGGAAAGGCTGGAGGCTCCCTGAGATCATCTTTAGAGTGGAACCCCTTATTTTCTGTTGGCACTGGCCTGGGACCCTGGAGCCTATTGGGGGTGTGGTACCTTCTGTGCTGAAGTCCATGTCCTTCTGCTTGAATTGTACTGTAATGCTAAGTGCAATGAATATATTTTTGGGATTTAGATACAGTCGTATGCCTCTCTTCCATCAGATGGCTGAGGACGTTGAGCAAGGGCCATAGGGAATTACATTTTCAGGCCATCTGAACCAATATAAACTGGAATATTCTGTTGATAATAAAGCACACTTTGGGGATTAGATGAGTTGAAACACTTGGGGCACTGGTAATCAGAGAGACATGCATTTGTAGCTTACTAGTTCAAAAGTAGCCCAGGTTAGAGACCGAGATCTGTCACCAGCTCAAGGTTATGTAGTGCTTACATTCATTATGTTGTTGATCTGACCCAATTTCTATCTGCAAATGTCTGCATCTACCTTGGCCTCTCTGCTAAACTGTCAACAAGGATGCCAAGGATTGAAAAAACAAGAAGCTGAATGAAGGCCTTGTCTGATGAGAAATTGTACCAATTTAACTGACTGGTTTTTAAAAACAAAGCTAGTTAAATCGGTGAACTCCCTTGTGTCCACAGGGGATTGCACCATATTTAACTAACCACTTTTTAATTGTTTTACTATAGTTAAGAATATAAGAACAGCCATATTGGGTCAAACCAATGGTCTATCTAGTCCAGTATTCTGTCTTCTGACAGTGGCCAATGCCAGGTGCTTCACAGGGAATGACCAGAACCGATAATCATCAAGTGATCTGTCCTCTGTTGCCCATTTCCAGCTTCTGGCAAACAAAGGCTAGAGACACTTCAAGAGCATGGTTTTGTATCCCTGCCCATCCTGGCTAATAGCCATTGATGGATCTATCCTCCATGAACTTATAGTCTGGGCCTTCACAATATCTTCTAGCAAAGAGTTCCACAGGTTGACTGTGCGTTGTGTGAAAAAATACTATCCTATAACTTTCTTATTAGAGGTTTCAGAGTAGCAGCCGTGTTAGTCTGTATCCGCAAAAAGAAGAACAGGAGGACTTGTGGCACCTTA